CAGTACCGGCCACTCCTGCACCTTGGTCACTGTCTTCAGGTGGGACTCCTTCCTCTGTAACTCCTGCTTGTTGGACAACATCTTGGGATGTAACTGCCGCACCTTCGACTTCATGTGTTGGTGTAACAGCAGTACCAGCAACTCCTGCACCTTGGTCACTGTCTTTAGGTGAGACGCCCTCCTCTGTAACTCCAGCATGTTGGACAACATCTTGGGATGTAACTGCGCCATCTGAAACTCCAGCATCCTGGACATTTTCTCCAGGAGAAACTGCTTCACCTGCAATTTCTCCTTGTTGGCCCTCGTCTTGGGATGTACCTGCCACACTTTGGACTTCATGTGTTGGTGTAACAGCAGTACCGGCCACTCCTCCACCTTGGCCACTGCCTTCAGGTGGGACTCCTTCCTCTGTAACTCCTGCTTGTTGGACAACATCTTGGGATGTAACTGCCGCACCTTCGACTTCAAGTGTTGGTGTAACAGCAGTACCGGCCACTCCTGCACCTTGGTCACTGCCTTCAGGTGGGACTCCTTCCTCTGTAACTCCTGCTTGTTGGACAACATCTTGGGATGTAACTGCGCCATCTGAAAATCCAGCATCCTGAACATGGTGTTGGGATGTACCTGCCGCACTTTGGACTTCATGTGTTGGTGTAACAGCAGTAACGGCCACTCCTGCATCTTGGTCACTGTCTTCAGGTGAGACTCCTTCCTCTGTAACTCCTGCTTGTTGGACAACATCTTGGGATGTACCTGCCGCACTTTGGACTTCTTGTGTTGGCATAACAGCAGTAACGGCCACTCCTGCATCTTGGTCACTGTCTTCAGGTGAGATATCCTCATCGGTAACTCCTGCTTGTTGTGTAACATTTTGAGGTGTAACAGCAGCCTCTGAAACTCCAGCATCCTGAACATCCTCTTGGGATGTACCTGCTGCACTTTGGACTTCATGTGTTGGTGTGACACCATTACCGGCCACTCCGGCATCTTGGACATTGTCTTCATGGGTAACTTCTGCATCATTTACATCATCTTGTGATATAACTCCTGCACTTTGGACTTTTTGCGCTGGGGTAACTTCTACAAATTGTACATCATATTCTGGCGAAACTCCTCCATCTGTATCTCCCACATGTTGGGTATCATTTTCAAATTTAACTCCTGCTTCTTTCACTCCTGCACCCTGCTCTTTGTATTCAGGTGTAGTTCCTGCACCAGTAACTCTTTCAGCTTGGACACCAATTCTGGATGTAACTTCTGCATCTTGGGCATTTCGTTCACGTGTAATTCCTACAATTGTTGCTCCTGCATCTTGGTCATCATTTTTGGATGTCTCTCTCCCACTTTGTTCTTCATATTGAGGTTTGGCACTCACATCTGTAAATCTTGCCTCTTCAACATCACCTTCAGATGTAACTCCTGCACTTTGGAAATCATCGTCAGATGTAACTCCAGCATTATGGGCTACATATTGAGGTGTAATTCCTGCATCTGCTCCTTCAACATCTTGGACATTGTCTTCAGGTGTAGCTCCAGCATTTGTAACTCCTGTATCTGGGACATCATCTTCAGGTGTAAAACCTGCCCTGATAAGTGGTCTTGCTCTCACCTGTAAAAGCACAAATGAAACAGAAAAGAGTAGAAAAAGAGTCTTCATGCTCGACGATTACATGGGATCTCAGAATCCATTCAGATAAGATCAGGAATGGAGAATGGTTGAAGGGGAAACCTTTATTTATGCAGATATTGGAGGAAGAGTGCCAGGGAATTTAAGGTTCACATCACTCAGTGGCTCTTGTTCAATAGAAGAAGTGGTTACAGTGCAAACATTCTTGATCATCACCTCTTCAGGATAAACATCTAAGTGAGTAAACATCTCCTCTAGTCATATCTAAGTGTGTAAATATTAGTTCTAATTCTCAAACAATCAGTGTCATCATATTCCCTATTCAGTACTATGCCTACTCACAGTACAGACTTCAGCTGTATGCTTCATATTTGGAGCATCTGAGAATATTTTTTGAACAGGAACAATGTTGAGCCTACCCTATCAGTGTGTACTGGCCAATATTTCTGTCTCCTTTTAAAGACCATAAGAAAATCCTGAAAACCTACAAGCGCAACATGTGTGCAATGACTCCCTTTCACCTTTGTTCCCCAGCAACTGGGGTTCGTGAGCATTCTGCTGTTCAGATTGCAGGAAGCATGGAACCAGAAGGACCAGTGTGGCCATCCTCTGTTAATTTCTCCACTCCACTTCAAAGCCCACCCAAGTTGGCGGCCATCATCGCATTCTGTGGGAGTGAACGCCGCAGCTTGACCAGGTCATCCGGAGGTGTGGGCTGTGGAATCATCAGTACGCGGATGACACCCAGCTCTACCTCTCATTTTCCACCAATCCAGGTGAGGTGGTGGCTGTGCTGAACCGGTGCCTGGCCGAGGTAATGGGCTGGATGAGGGCCAATAAACTGAAGCTCAATCCAGACAAGATGGAGGTCCTGTTGGTGGGTGGGGACTTGGGCCTTGTCCTAAATGGGGTTGCACTCCCTCTGAGGGACAGGGTTCGCAGCTTGGGAGTGCTCCTCGACCCTTAGCTGTCTATAGAAGCTCAGGTGATGGCGGTGGAATTCTATACCATGGAATTCTACAGGGGTCCATTTTGTCCCCTTTGCTGTTTAATGTCTACATGAAACCGCTGGGGGAGGTCATCAGGAGGTGTGGGCTGCGGAATCATCAGTACGCTGACGATACCCAGCTCTACCTCTCGTTTTCCACCAATCCAGGTGAGGCGGTAGCTGTGCTGAACCGGTGCCTGGCCGAGGTAATGGGCTGGATGAAGGCCAATAAACTGAAGCTCAATCCAGACAAGACGGAGGTCCTGTTGGTGGGCAGCTCGGACCTTGGGATGGGGGACTTGGGCCTTGTCCTAAATGGGGTTGCACTCCCTCTGAGGGACAGGGTTCGCAGCTTGGGAGTGCTCCTCGACCCGGAGCTGTCTCTAGAAGCTCAGGTGACGGTGGTGGCAAGGAGCGCCTTCCTTCAGCTTCGGCTGATCCATCAGCTGTGCCCCTACCTGGACTTCGACTGCCTGGCGACAGTGACACACGCGCTGGTGACTTCCCGATTAGATTTCTGTAACGCGCTCTATGTGGGGCTACCCTTGAAGACGATCCGGATACTTCAATTGGTGCAGAATAGAGCTGCCAGGCTGCTGACGGGGACTGGGCGTTATGCTCACATGACTCCAGTTCTCCGTCAGCTTCACTGGCTCCCGATTGAAGTCCGGGCCCAGTTCAAGGTGTTGGTTATGACCTATAAAGCCCAAAACAGCTTGGGACCTGGATATCTAAAGGAACGCTTGCACCCATATATGCCCTCCTGCCCCTTGAGATCAGCGGGAGAGGCCCTTCTCTGGGAACCCTCTGTGAATGATATTCGGAGGGTGAGCACCCGGAGGAGGGCTTTCTCTGCGGTGGCACCCCATCTATGGAATGCACTCCCCAGAGAGGTCCGCCTGGCGCCGTCGTTATTTGTTTTTCGGCGCCAGGCTAAGACCTTTTTATTTAAAACTTATTTTAATTGTTAAATTAATTAATAGGATTTTAAGTTTTTAGCCAAGAAAGCACCGGGGGGTTTTAAACGATTTTTTTTAATTTGTTGTGTTGTTATTATGTATGTATTTATGTATTCTCTGTGAGCCGCCCCGAGGCTTTGTTGCGATGGGGGTGGCATAGAAACATTTTAAATAAATAAATAAATAAACAAACAAAATAACCCTGGGCTGTGTGAAGGAGTCTTTCCCTTTGCTGATTCTCCCAGCCATCATCTTCATGGGGTGACCCCACTGGATTCTAGTGTTAGGGAAGGGGAGGTAAACAGTCCCTCCCCAGTTCCTCTGCATCATGCACAACTCGGTGCACTTCCACTTACCGCCCCCCCCCCCTTTTCGCTAAGCTGAACCATCCCAGCTGCCATAACCTTTCCCCATGGGGGAGTTTCTCCCATCTCTCAATCATGTGAACTGCCCTTTTGCACAATTTTCCCAGCCCTTTTGGATTTTCTGTCGCATGCGTCTCCATCACTCTGCACCGCCCCCGGCTACCTAGAATCTAACAGAACAAAGGTTTTATGAAGGGAAAGCAATCAAAGACGATAAGGTTTCATTTTTTTCAGTAAAGTCTGCAATTGTTGTCAAGGAACTATGTCTACAAAAGGTTGTCTTCTGTTGCATGCAATCGAATGGCAAATAATATAATATTTGCCAATCTTTGTGAGTATTTGTTATACAGATGGCATCCCAACCCATGGGACCTTCAGGAGAATAAACACTAGAAGTGCCACAACTTTAGAAAACAATTCTTACATGTTTTCTGCCCTTGTTCTTATCTTGGACAACAAAAACTTTCATTCAAGATCGGAATCAAATGTTATTAAAAATGGTTAGTTTAGGATACTTATGACAGAAAAAGTCCTTTAAAAAGTTCAGATGAATAAAACAAAAGTTTTGCACCATGGAGACCTTCTCAGGAGAACATTCCCAGGGAGAACATTTCCAAGAACAGTTGGGGTGCCGCAGACCTTACCTCTGATGGACGTGGCATCTGACCCAAAGCTCCACTCACATACAACACTAAGATTATGTTAATAATTACTGAATTGTGCCTTGCCCTGCCTTTTGAGCCTAGGACTCTGGGTTCACTACTATACCCGAAAACAAGCCCTAAAAAGAACCCATGGTTTGTTGTCAGGTGGTAAAATCTGTGTTGTTGAACCTCGGCTTGCCTTTACATGCAACCTGAGAACCATGAATTGTTTGTTGCCAAGAAAGAGAGGCAGCAGGCTCAAGTGGAAAAGCCAAAACCAGAACAAAATACAGCAGTTGTGCATGCTAGTACTGAAGGAATGGGGCAGGAGCCAAATAAAAGGGGAATTGAATAAAACAGCCCATAACTAAACTATGAGTTGTTGTTATGTGTGCAGGGCATTTATTACAAAACAATTCTTCTGTCTGAGAAATAAAACAGTGTCTGCCTCTTTATTGGGTTTTTGTCCAACATTTTTGGAGAACTTGTCTCCTCCCTCAGACTTTCCTGTAACGTAATGAAATACAGAAATGTGAAAACTCTTGCACAAAAGCCTAATTGTGCATTGTGTGTCCTCCCAGCAGGTGGACTGGAGACAGTGAGGAGAGACAAGGATGGGCAGCTGGACAAAAAGGAGCGTACCCACACCTCCTCAGAGCAAGACAATTGCTTGCATTTCTGGTCTCTCCCTCAAATGCCCTTCCCTCAAGGGCCACCCTGAGCGCACTGGAACCAGCCTGGGCCCACCAGTGTAGTGAGAGCCAGGGTTGTGTCATGGTTAAGAGCATGGGACTGGGACTCAGACGACCTGGGTTCTAGTCCCCGCTCAGCCACGGAGCCCACTGGGTGACTTTGGGCCAGTCACAGACCCTCAGCCCGGCCTACCTCACAGGGTTGTTGTGGTGGGGATAAGATGGAGGAGGAGACTGATGTAAGCTGCCTTGAGCCCTTTGTAGGAAAAAGGCAGGATATAAAATGGAAAATAAATAAAATTGAAAAATAAATCCATTCATGTTCCAGGCCACGTGCCCATCAGAGTGGCTGGACTGGCACTTCAAACCACGTTGCAGGCCCAGTTCCACTGATCCTCTCACTGGTGGCCTCCACCTCGGTGCCAGCTCTGTGGTACTTTGCTCCCTTCTGGGATTAGCCATCCTCAATACCAGGCCTGCAGGCTGCTCCAACGTGCTACTGGAGTGCAGAGCAAATGACGAGACACCTAGAAGTACAGAAGGTAGGCTTTGGAATGCATCCAGTGCAGATACTGCCCGCACTCCAACGCACCACCCTCGTCCCACCTCTAGGAGTGAGCACAGCGCCACTGCCAGCCTCCGGCACCTGCCGCTTCCACACGGTGATGCCCTGTGGCACTGAACTCCAGTTGATGCAGATGCAGGGAAGGGTATCTCCTGCCAAGGAGGGATATCTATCTTTCTGGGACATCTCTGGGGACACCGTGGACTTTGCTTGGGTCCAGCCTGGCTCACCTTATGTTCTTTCCTCAGACTGTAAACACTGAGGATCAGAGGCCACGGAAGGTAAGAGGCAGCAGGAAGTCTATTGTATTTCTCTGCAGGAACATTGCCAAAATACCCAAGATAAGAACTGTGTTATTGCTGATAAGCTCTCTTCTTATCCATGCTAACTAACCTTGAGTATGTGGGACAGAGTTTTACTTTGGTTTGGAAAGTAATGCCAAGAGGCTATAAAGGTAGAGAAAGGCGTTTACAGTGTGTGTGTGTGTGTGTGTGTGTGTGTGTGTGTGTGTGTGTGTGTGTGGCTGATGGGAGATGGGGTGGGAAGGGCCTACGCACAGATAATTTTATCTGCAGTTCACTTGATGGAAAGTTGTGAGTACCCTGGAGTCTAAAGTGCCCATTTCAAACTGCTTTCAGTTCTGATCTTTCTGGATACATCCTTTTCAGAAAAGTTCCTCCTCCACCTTGACCATATTTGCTAAGTGTAAAGTGAGCACCGGAAAAAAAAAGAAAACAAGTAAAGGGAAGATACTCCTGGGAAAACTCATCATAAGCTTTTGTCTTGAAGAGTCTTACTTTTTTAAAAAAAGGATTAGATATGCTGATTGCACTAAAGGAAACTCAACCTGTAGATGCCAAATATTTCTGGAGATGGAAATAAGAGTTGGCCCTCTAGGGCAGAACCCCCTAGTCTTTCCTTTGAGCTTCAGGCCTCTGGGGGCCCATTTCCCCCATCACCTTGCTATCCATGGATCCTTGTTGAAAAGGTCCAGGGGCCTTCCTTCTCATTGGGCCAATATGTGAGCTTCATCTTCAGGATCTGTCCTTCTAAAGAACAATCAGGGTTGATCTCCTTTAGGATTCCACCTTTCTAGGAGTCCATGAAACGTTATAAGCCTCCTCCTGCTATAAAACACAAAAATCGAACCTGCAGTTAACATCCTCCAAAGAATGTCTTTGGCTTCAAGGGACACATCTAAGGTCTGCCTGATCATTCAGGTACAAATTAGGGCAGTACAGAAGCATCCTCCTGGTGCAGAAGGGGGAGCACATTAATGCTATCTGACTGAGAAGTGCATCAAACAAGAGGATTATGGACATTTGCTTCTGTCTGCCCTCTCTCTCTCTCTCTCTCCCCCCCCCCATTTCTGGCTTTCATTTGCAAGTGGGGTGTGTGTGTGTGTGTGTGTGCGCGTGCGTTGCAGGGAGCAGCCAGGACATATTCCAGATGACTTGAATAAACTGGGAACAAGTCTTCAAATGGCTGTATCTTATTTCTGCAGAACAAAACAGGCTGGCGCGAAGTAAATGTGTCTGCCGAAAATTCTGTTACCCGAACGAGTACCCTATGGGGATGTGTGCAATTATTTTGGTGCCCATGTGCTGCACTTTTGACCCCCAAGGAGGCAGCCGGTGAAGCCTGCAGAAAGACCAGCAGGACTCGAGACGAGAGCAGAAAAGTCGTCTCAGCTGCCATGCTTGCCTCTGACATATCCACCTCCTCCGTAATAAACATTAACTTGACATCCAGTTCAGTGAAGGTTGCATCTCTCTCCTAGGATGTTGATTTTGTATCCATCTCTTGTGATAAAATTGCATCCAAATAAATTCATTCTGCATCCATAACCTGTGATGTTTTCTTTCTCACTTTCCGAAAGCACTTGTAGTCACCGTGAGCAATGATCTTCTGTGAGCATTTTTTATGTGTTTGGGATAGATCTAAAAAGATTAGCATGTTGTTTCAACCCTTTCAGCGCTTTCCCTCATCAGCTGTTTATATTTATGACTCCGTGGGCACCTGCAATCCTGCAAACTAACCTCTTGCTTTGATTCGTTTTGAAATCCAAACTCGGATGTACCAAGAAGATGCTGTTGGTGGGTGAGCCATGGGTCCTCCTAAGTCAAGGAGAGGGGGAGAGGAAGTTCTGCCTGTTTAGCACAAAGTTAATCCGGATCGCAAACGAGCTTTAGATATGCCTCAGCTCTCTGCAGGAAATCTTTCAGCATTTTAGGTTTATGCACCTGGCAGGGAGAAGGACTCTCTTGGAGGGTTAACACACTGGACCTACATCCAACGCTCGGACCGCTTCTTGTTGTGATGCACCATCAAGTCACCTCTGACCTGTGGTGACCCCATGAATGAAAGCCCTCCAAAATAGGATATTTCTGCTTTTCCACATTTATCTCTCTCTCTCTCCCCCCTGCCTTTTTCCTGCAAAGGGCTCAAGGCAGCTTACATCATTCTCCTCCTCCATCTTATCCCCACAACAACAACCCTGTGAGGTAGGCTGGGCTGAGAGTCTGTGACTGGCCCACAGTCACGCAGTTGGCTCCATGACTGAGCAGGGACTCGAACCCAGATCGTCTGAGTCCCAGTCCCGTGCTCTAACCACTATACCACACTGGATCTCATTCAAGGTTGCAGTTTCCTTTATGGATTCAATCCATATCATATTCAGAGGGGAGTTTCCACCTGGCCAGTCTTGCTCCGCCTCGCTGCATGAGAGACCCATTACTCAGGTGATGTAGAACAGGAACATTTTACCTATTCTTGCGCTGGGTGATGTGTTGAAGCACACCCTCCTCCCGGGACGTTGAATCTTAATCTGTTTTAACATTTTGCCTTGGATCCTTTTCTTGTCTTTTGCCTCCCTAGCCCTTTGCCCCTTCCCTTTTATAAATAAATTCTTCCCACCAGTTTGGCATGGCTGCTTTTCAGGAAGCCTCGATGGCAGCTGCGAGACAGGACAACCAGGCTCAGTCAGAAAAGACCCCTTTCACCTTGGACCTCAGCAGTTTGATTGAAAGTTCACCCAGGACCCCTGCAGTGACTTACGACGGCATGCTCCCAGGTAGTGGTCACTAGTGGTCACTGCCAACCCAAGCTTCTAGAACATATACAGAGTGTTTTGTGGATTCTGAGTCACATGGGCCCAGCAGCTGGGCAGTTGATGACGAAACACGGTGAACACAGTCAGAAGGTGAAAGGTCTGCAGAGGGGGCTCGATACAATAGCATTTGATGGCAGGAGATTAACACAACTATCATGGGATTATTGTGAGACTGGGCATGCAAACGAGGGCGATTGCAGTGCTGCGAACCTGGCAGCCTGGTCAGTTCTTCCTGATCAGCAACACAACAGCCCTGGCAGCTTCTTGGGGAAGCCATCAGGTCCCACTTCTTAAAGCAACAGCAAGTGCCAAACAGTAACCTGGCTTGGAATTTTTTTGGGGTGCTTCCTGAGAAAGGGGTGCAGGCATTGTATAACACAAAGACACACAAGCATCCCTTTTCTGCCAGGATTTATCTGAATTTTCCCAACATGTTGCAGGTGCATCAGAGCTTTAAGCCGAACATACAACCTTGAAAAATACAGTGGGGTTGTTACAGACCAGCTTGCATGAAAATTCCCAGCTGCCAGTTGTGTCATGTCAAACTTCCCAGAGAAAGGAAGAAAAGCAGATGCGGGCTGGAAAGAGTCTGTCTTAGAGGGGAAAGGCCAAGAGAAGTTGTAGGGGAAGGAAATACTTGCCTTTATTTCCTTCTGTGCTAAAAGAGAAAGCTATTTATCCAAGGAGGTGGCAGAAAGGAGGCGCTCACTGCCTTATTTGAGTAAACAGTCTTTAGAGTCTGAAGTCCTTATGTAAAACATCTCAGTATATTTTGGATTTTCTTGAGTAAGCATCCAGTGCTCAGACTGGACTAATCCCAGATATAATATACACTGCACTCAAATGTAAAAAGCCTTTCCAGCTTAGTGAGTTGTGCTAAGGGCTCTCTCTGTGTTCACTCGAGCAAGAAAACGCTGCAAACTGCTGGCTGGAGAGGTTCATGCCCATAGCAGAAGTGTTTGGTAAACAATCAGACGGTGCCTTCTTTGTAGTTCATTTCAGCTTCGCCACGACCTTAGCATGGTGGCTTGAAGTCCTAGAGCTCTCTGACTGCTAGAAGAGAAGACATGCATGGTCCATGCAGCTGAAGCGATCGTGCAATTGAATCTACCGTTCCACAACAAACAACTGTGGATAACCATTGTGAACCCAGTAATTGTACTGGGTAGTTGGGTCCTATTATCCATATGAGGAACTTGAGCTCTTAGGCAGTGTAGAAATATGATGCTTCTTCCTCATCACCATCCTTGGTGCCCCACAGGACTTCATCATACATGAAGCTTGAAATTGCCTGCTCAGTCAGACATTTCAGCCAGGTCCAGAGGACAGAAGCCTCCCTTTTCTGGTGGAGACGATCTTGCTGAATTACTGGAGCCATCTCACTCACGACCTGGATGGATGCTTGCTCTGGTCCACCATGACTCCTCCTGTGTCCTTAAGTAAGCTGACAGTCCTCAGGTAGGCTTGGCTTGGAAAAGAAGAGGGACTGGTGCAGGAGGTAAAGGGTTCAAAGCTAATTGCTCTGCTTCGAGGCACCGCATTGCCAAGACATCACACTGTACTGCTGCGGCAATGGACCTTTTCAGACATCCTCAGATCAGTCCCTCTGTTTCCCTTGACCTGCTCTGAAGGCAGGGTGCCTTCAGAGGATTTGGATTTGCTTCTCCTTCCACTCGGGGTCCCATCACGATTTCTGACTCACAGCTGGGAGAACCCTGTTTCACCGAGCTTGTGCAGATAGCTGTGATCTGTCCCCCTTTCTCCTGCTCTTCTGTTCTGATTCTGTCTGTTTATATCACCAGCTGGTAACTTTCTTTAGCTGTCCTGTTCTGCCCTTCTTGCCATGAGTCTGGGCTTCTGCCACAATTCTTGCTCAGGGCTGTGTCGATCCTGTGCTACGAGGGTGTCCTTCCTTTTTCGGTCTGCAGAAATCACCTCGAGATAGTGGCCCTGGAAACCAGGTCACTTAGTTCCCCTGCTAGGCATGGTGAATTTAGCCTGCTTCCTGAATTTAGCCTGCTCCTGCCAGGCCATGAGACCCACACTGATACAGCCTCAAGATGGTGGAGAGTGGAAAATTAGGCTCATGGGAAGTAAAGAACTGGGAGCAACCTGGTAGGGCTGGACTGGGCCACTCCTTTTCCCTTCCCCCTTCCCCTTTCCTAGGCTTCAATCAGCAGTTATGGCCTGTTAAGTGGATCCCCATAAACCTAATTAAACAGGAAAGATGTCTTTCACAACAAAGGAGTTCAGTTGGTCCGGAGGAGGGCAGGATGTGCTCCAAGGGAGCCAAGGTTCAATTTGGATGCCAGGAAGCACTTCCTGACAGTCGGGACCCCAAGGCTATGGAATGGGCTTCCACGGGAGGTGGTTGAGGCCCCATCGGTGCGGGTGTTCAAGGAGAGGCTGGACATCCACATGGTGGGCATGTCGTGAGCGGAGCTGGCTGGAGCCGGGGGTCAGACTAGATGGCCTGGGAGACCCCTTCTGACTCGCTCTGTTTCTATGTTTCTACGATTAATATCAGGTGCTGGTGTGTGGTCCCACATAACGCCAATTCTATATAACTACATTTGTGACCCGGCGAAGTCCAAGCCCAATTTAGAGTGCTTCTTTTAACATATAAAGCCCTAAATGGCTTAGGACCTGGCTACCTGAAGGGCCACCTACTTCCGTACATGTCCACCCACCTGTTACCGGACTGAAACCAGTTAACAGCTGGGGCAAACCCCGGGTGGACCCCAGACCCAAAGCCAAACAGAGCCTGAGACGAGACTTAGCACTGATAACAGTTTTATTCTGGTGCACTGTAGCATAAACGGAGACAAAGGGGAGATGCTTCCCAAATCAGAGTCTCGAAGGAGTTTACAGAGATCATACATTATATACCCTACATCATAACATGTTGTCCGAATACAAAGTAAATTCATTTCCCCATTATTCTTTGTTCTTTTTGTTAGTTTACAGAAAACTCTTTATTTATCCAGAGACTCCCCTTTCTCGTGTGTCTGTTGATTATCTCTGAATTATTCACACCCGCTCTATGTTTCTCACCCACTAGTAATTTATAATGCAATTTGCTACTTTTATTGAGGCTTCACCCGGATTCCAGCCGGGCCCAGGCTCCAAAGATACTTCTCATTTACCCTCTTTGACATCCAGTCATCCTGTCCCAGGAGTTCACACAGGGTTCTCCATACCTCCCCGCTCCCTCCTGGACAGGAATTACAACATGGCTGCAGATTTCTGGCTAAGTGGTTAGCCTAAGTGTTTTGAGAGAGTATGTTTCAGGTAACACAACCATTAAGATTTGGCCAAGAGGCCCTTCTCATGGAGGTGAGGGGTGGTAAATAGAAGAAGGGCCTTTTTGGTGTCTTCCCCTCCACCCCAGCTGTGGAATAGACTCCCCAGGGAATTTTGCCTGGCGCCAACTCTGCTCTCATCTCTCTTCTCTACCTGTTTTAATAATTTTAATAACTGGTTTTTATGTTTTAAATTTTAATGTATTTTTGTCTTTGGTTGTCCATCTCACCTGGACATGTTTTTTGAAACTGATCAGGTCTATGTTAATATTATTAGTTGGCTATTTTTAATGAAAGTTTTTAATGATTGGTTGCATTTTATTGATCTATCTGGCAGCTTGTACATGTAAAAATAAATTAATAAAGGCAAAATCAGACTTTTCCAAGGGCTCTTGCTTGCAATAAACCAATGATTTAATGGAATGAATGCGACAAATTCTTTCCTCTGATTGAAGACAGATTTGTTGGCAAACCTCGGGGCCTCTCCCAGATCTTCATTTGGCACAACACTTGTATAACTCTGTCTTTGGACAGTCATTGTAAATGTACGTTAAGCC